ACACTTTTAGTTTTAATCTCTGTTTTCATATAAAAATATGTCGGCTTGGCTTATACTCTATTGTGCTACACCATCAAAGCTAAAATGGTTCTTTTCACGATATGCAAGGTTCAAATGACATCACTTAAGGAGGTGCTGCATAATTCATCAATCACATTGCATAAGAGCCCTAATTGAGTTTTCATGAGGTGCTATATTTGCTGTGTCAGTGACTCTGCAGAGTGGTTATGATATTCTATTAAATTCTATTTGGGGCTGAGTTTGTGTGATCATTTTCTTATGGTCTCTAATGTCTTCTAACAGGTACAGAAGAGTCTTACTATTTCACCCAATACTAAAAATGTGGCACAAGTTTTAATTCAGCTGGCTTTGATAGAGTATTTAATATCAGCAATTTTTTTAATATTATGCCAAGGTTCTAACTGTGTGCATTGTAACAGCATACTGCATAGTAATAATATCTGTAAGTTGCAAAGAAATGAACATTATCTCTTGATCCTTTTGAGTGGCATTGACCTATATTTCTATTTATGGTATTTTATTGTCTCTTTTTTGTTGTTTTCTTATTTCAAGCTGCTTTTTCAGTCATTTTCAGCAAAAGTATCACAAAAACAACATCTGCAGCAGAAACTGAACTAAAATATAATGTTACATAAAATAGAAGCCATTGAAACCTTTAAGACTCTAACCCCTCCAGTACACTACAGTACATCCATCTCTCATGTATGATAAAGTCTTCACTAAATTCTGGTGTAAGTAGAAAGCTTGCCCATGATTTTAAGAAGGTATTGATCCCTCTGATTGGTCTTTGATTATTTAAAAGATGAATGACAACAGATTAATCTAAATAAATGCTTTCTAATTTATACGTCTTTTATTTTGTGCTATTCTTTTGAAAGATAACTGTCCTGTTTACTATGGGAATTGCATTATCTTTAAACTGGATCTCAAGAGATGTGATTCACTGTGCAAATTAAATTAATGACAAATCTTTGAGGAGGAATATATGTTAAAATAAATGCAATGACCCAATTTAATCTGCATTCCCTTAAGATAAAACTCTGTTGAATTTTTAATTCAAATTTCAACATTCAGTCTTCTTTGATTGGAATCTATAAGCATCCCATATCTTCACATAGATTTCAAGAACTTCAGCCAAGAGCAAGTGGACAACATTTCTATCAGCTTTATTTCTATTACTACAAAGATACTGTCCACAATTTAGTTTCAGACTTTAGCTAGGCCATTCAAAAGGTGGGACTTTCTTGTAAATGACAAAGTTTATTTCACTTGGATTTACTTTGTTACTGAATATTGCAAATAGAGTTTAGGTCAAAATGACGGGTAGTCATAACATATTCAAAATATTTAGAACAGGTGAAAATCAAGATAGGTTTCATTTGAAGAAATTTTTTCCAGTAACATAATGCAGCCACCATGCATCAGTGTGGGTATGGTGTTCTTTTGGGTATTTTTGGGTTTTTTTGCCAAACAGAGATGTTTAGAGTTTCCTCTACCCTTCCCATCCTTCCTTCCAATCCCTTTAGATTTATCTGCCACCCCTCACATGTACACTCACCGGCCACTTTATTAGGTACCCCATGCTAGTAACGGGTTGGACCCCCTTTTGCCTTCAGAACTGCCTCAATTCTTCGTGGCATAGATTCAACAAAGTGCTGGAAGCATTCCTCAGGGAATTTGGTCCATATTGACATGATGGCATCACACAGTTGCCGCAGATTTGTCGGCTGCACATCCACGATGCGAATCTCCCGTTCCACCACATCCCAAAGATGCTCTATTGGATTGAGATCTGGTGACTGTGGAGGCCATTTGAGTACAGTGAACTCATTGTCATGTTCAAGAAACCAGTCTGAGATGATTCCAGCTTTATGACATGGCGCATTATCCAGCTGAAAGTAGCCATCAGAAGTTGGGTACATTGTGGTCATAAAGGGATGGACATGGTCAGCAACAATATTCAGGTAGGCTGTGGCGTTGCAACGATGCTCAATTGGTACCAAGGGGCCCAAAGGGTGCCAAGAAAATATTCCCCACACCATGACACCACCACCACCAGCCTGAACCGTTGATTCAAGGCAGGATGGATCCATGCTTTCATGTTGTAGACGCCAAATTTTGACCCTACCATTCGAATGTCGCAGCAGAAATCGAGACTCATCAGACCAGACAAAGTTTTTTCAATCTTCTATTGTCCAATTTCGATGAGCTTGTGCAAATTGTAGCCTCAGTTTCCTGTTCTTAGCTGAAAGGAATGGCACCCGGTGTGGTCTTCTGCTGCTGTAGCCCATCTGCCTCAAAGTTCGACAGACTGTACGTTCAGAGATGCTCTTCTGCCCACCTTGGTTGTAACGGGTGGTTATTTGAGTCACTGTTGCCCTTCTATCAGCTTGAACCAGTCTGGCCATTCTCCTCTGACCTTTGGCATCAACAAGGCATTTCCGCCCACAGAACTGCCGCTCATTGGATGATTTTTCTTTTTCGGACCATTCTCTGTAAACCCTAGAGATGGTTGTGCGTGAAAATCCCAGTAGATCACTAGTTTCTGAAATACTCAGACCAGCCCTTCTGGCACCAACAATCATGCCACGTTCAAAGTCACTCAAATCACCTTTCTTCCCCATACTGATGCTCGGTTTGAATGGCAGAAGTTTGTCTTGACCATGTCTACATGCCTAAATGCACTGAGTTGCCGCCATGTGATTGGCTGCTTAGAAATTAAGTGTTAACGAGCAGTTGGACAGGTGTACCTAATAAAGTGGCTGGTGAGGGTAATACGACTTGGTTGATGGGTACTCTCATGATTTAATCTACCATTCCTTAAGGAGAGTGCAGAGAAAGGGTGGAAACTTCCTCTGATCAGTGTTTGATCAGACTTAGGATTTGGTGAATAAAGACAGTTGGGTTGCTATTACTGCAAACTCAATCTAAAGGCCAAACCTATACACTGAGATTCCTGCTGTGATATTGGTGATATTGGGATGGTCCTTTCTGAATATTGTCCCACCTTAATTCTCTGCTCTATGATAGGGTATCATTTTTAAAAGCTATCTCTCTCTCTTGTTGAATGAATATAGTATTAGTTTTAGTTGTATTTGCTGCTTTCTTTGGCACCTTGGATCCTTGCACTGCAATAAAAATGCTCTTTTGCTACAGAGAAGGCCTGTTGTAAAATCGTCTGTATTCATGCCTCTAGAATGTGATAGCAATAAAATACATGAGTTACTGACAAGATGGTAATCAGCAGTGGAGAATTTTATGAGGATTATTTGTTATGTAGAACGAGTCTGTGACACACTGACACTCCATTATCAGGCCTGAGACACAGACGATTATCATTAACAGAGGGCATTGCTACTAACATGGCACCATTGCATGCAATAGAACTGTTTTTACAGCTAGAGATTTTATCGATCTGTTGTTGACCTGATATTGAATCTGCTTATGCTAAAATCCTGCCACTGATGGGTTTTGTTCTGTAGTTTTAGCAGTGTCAGAATCTATAACCATGGTCTAACTTGAGACTTGCTGAGTATGAGTGTGAAGGACAGATCCCTGCTTTAAGAAGCAAGGGAGTTTGCTGAAAGCTCTTTCAAAGGTGTTGTGATTGTTACAGCCTACTACAGGCATGATCATCTGTATGCACACTGTGTACTTTCTCTGTGTACCCTGTTGAGAGTTCTTAATGTTGTCAAAAGATTAAGTCTTCTTCAAGAGATGAAAGGCCTTGTTTGGACAGGCTTGCAAGTACTTAGTTGTTGAGAATAGGTCCTTCTGAGTCCTTGGTACTGCAGAGCAACAACATTTGCATTCATTTACCACCCTAACACTTCTGTGCTCTTGTACCACCAGTTTCTATTAACATCTGTGACATATAAGTGCAGATATCAATCAAGAAACTAGAGGAGCACTGAATCACATTAGTACTGTTAACTTTAAAATTGCAAGGGATTGCTTTATTGCCACATTTGGTAGACACATGTATTTCAAGTACCATGCATTTACTCTCTCCATGCCAGTACTGCATTCAGTTAGTTAAACTGGCTTGTACTGCCCTTGAAGCCCCCATCACAAATAATTTCGGGACTTTGGGTATTAATTCTCTCAAGTATTGATAGGAATAATTGTAGCTCAGGATACTTAGTAATTCTTTTATTTATGGTTATTGTGTAAAATAGAAATTGCTGTAAGAATTGTCATCCTTTGAAAATGATATGTAATCTCTGGAATGAACAGAAATTCACCTCCAAAAACAGACAACTTGATTCAGTTTGTAGCTTTGGATGTTAGTACTGTTTTGCCAGTTTGTTCCTTGGGAATAACAGATTACTGTGATAATGTTTTACAGTATGTCTTAAAATAATAATTTTATAGTTTTTAGAGCTAGATCATTAGCACATAATTTTAAGTGAGCTGGCCTTTTCTTAATATATCAGTTTTATTTCAAAAGCAAAGTTTGTGTTAATGTGGTTCTGACTATGTAGTAGTAAATGTAAAACTAAAAAGACTTCTAATCCTTTTTGTGTTATGACTCGTTTTTATATCCATAACAATAAAGCTTACCAAATCCAATAAGGAAAAATTAAAACCACTGCCCATAACAATGGAAAACAATTAAAGCTATGCAAATGTGGATTTACTGTAACCCACATGGTGATCCCATGATTTTAAAAATACTGCAGTTGTTTTTCTCCAGCCCTGATTAAGATAAAAGCATTTTAATTTGTTAGAAAGGCTAAGTCAAAGTTCGGTCTTAAATCTGTGGCAATACTTGGGAATGTATCTGTTCACATCCAATCTGATTAAACCCCAGCTATTTTTAAAGACTTGATAAAAATTTCAGTCACTACTTACTTGATGGCAGCAGATGGAACCTGTTTTTATCAGTTCCATTTCTTCACTTCTGTTGAAATTAAAAATTGTTAAACTATGGTTGTTAATTGTGACTCCTATTGATATTTAATGTTCTTCTTTTTCAGAAGAAAGAATGGCTCTGCTTAAACTGCCAAACACAGCGCGCTCTGTCAGGAAGCTTGGGTGATATTCCAACTCCTGTGGCCCCCTCTATGGGATCTCCTCGGGCACCTGCTCCATCCAAACAACAAACACCTCAGCAGAAAGCTTCCACTCAAGTTTTAGGACCTAGGTCTGCAGGTCCTCAACAACAGAAGTCTGCGGGTCCCCAAGTAAGTGGCCCCCCCTCTAATGTGAAACAGGCTGGGCCTGCTCCTCAATTGAAAGGGCTCAGCCAAACCCCATCTCAAACTAAAGGTTTAGTTCATCCACCCTCCCAAGCAAAGAGTCAAACACAGCCCTCAACACAGAATAAGGGGCCAGCTCAGAGTAAAGGTCCAAGCCAGGCACATGCTCAAACTAAGGCCCCGACACTGCCTGCTAACCAAGTGAAGGGCCCAAGTCAGGCCAAAGGGCCGACTCAGGCAAAAGGATCTGCTCAGCCCTCTGCTCAGACTAAGGGCCCTTCTCATCCCCCTGGTACTAAGGCTTCATCTGGTCCTGGTAAAGCTGCTCCTAACACTACCAAGGCTCCTACTCCTTCAAAAGTTCCTACTCAGTCTAAACCCACAGGTAACAACCAGGCCCGCAAACAACCGCAAAGCCAGGAGAAGACTAAAGTCGCATCTAAATCTCTGAAAGAAGATGCAAAAGTCTCAACTAAGAAGACATTGTCAGAGACTGTGACTTCCCCACAAGAGAACAAGATAGCTGAAGAAGACAAGAAGTCAAGACACCATGAAGTGAGCTACCTGCAACTTCCTTGCCTTCACCTGTTACACCTGTTACTGAATTCACCATTTCAATTTACGTTGCTCCATTGAAATATCTGGTTCCATTTTTCAGAATCTTAATGTTGTTTTTCCATTTACTTTATTGTATGTATTTTCTTTATTGAATTTATTTTATCACAGCCATTCTTTCAATTTCCACATAATATTTTTTTTTAAGTGAGGGAAGTTTATTTGTGTAGCACTTTCACATTCAAGGTAGTATAAGCTGTTTCACTGGAAAATAAAGGATCATAAGTAACAAAAAAAATTTATGTATTGTAAAAAGACTGTACAAGTTATGCATCAAATAAATGAAAAAGCAAAATTCTACATTTAAAAAAAAACCAAAAGGTAAAATCAAAAGGCTATGATTATAACAGAAAAATGACTGACCTAGAAGGATGAGATAATCGTTGAAATTTAATGGAAAGCTTTAGTAAGCCATAACATTTACAGTAAAAACTTTCAAGAACCATCAATTTCTGCTCATCTCAGTTATTTGTTAAATTGGTCCCAGAGGAAATAAGATCTCAGGAACATAGAAATTAAATGTATGTAGATCTAAGAGCATTCAACTTCTTATAGAGCCAAGGGTCTTCAACAGCCTTTGAGAACTACTATCCTGCAATGTTCAGATGCGTTCATGTTCCTTACCATTGGAATTTAATAATGGCTCATTACCAAGCTTATGTAGAACCCATATTTAGTTTCATTTATCCATTTAATCCAAGCATTTCAGGGAATGGCTATATCTAAAAGTTACTGGATAGTGGCTCTTGAGTACTGAAGTTGAAGACCCTTGTCACTGACTAATAACATGACCGCCTGTGTGGTATGATTTATGTTCCTGGGATTAGTATCCAACGCAGAGAGGACAATATTATATTTCTGGGTGGATAATAAAAATAAGTGGTCCTCCTTATTGTCAGTCATTCTGGTGATGTGTTTATGTATGGGCCGTGTTACTTGCTCGCCCTGTTAGCTGTCTTTATCTGTGCATGCGCACTTTCTTTGAAAATGGCCAAGGGTTGTAAGAGAAAAAGTTTTTACAAAGTGTATGAGAAGAAAAGAAAAGCCTCAGAAGAGGCAGATATATTGTACGGAAAGCTCTCCTCACAAAGCATTATGGGATTTGCTGTCACATCAGCCCGCTGTCACCATAGACTGTCGCTACCTGACAGCGGTGACTAACAACAAAGATGGCACAGGCACCGCACAGTTGAGGAGGAGTTACGTGGCCAACGGGGCTCAAAGCAGTGATATTTAACTTTGTGCTTTAGTGATAGAATAAAAAGAAGTTTACTGCATGGATTGAGATCTGAAACTCTTTGCACCAGATTTGATTAAATCTTTGAAAAATGCTTTTACATGGTATACTGTGTGGCAGAAGAGGTCATTTCATTAAAATACAGTTATTAAATTTATTAACTGCACATATTCAGGAGTTCAGACATTTGTAGCTTTGGCTGCTAAGTTTAACAGTTTGGTAAGTTTAGTTTTCTCTGCCAATGGAGTTCATTCTGTAGAGCTTCCTGTTTCTAATCAGCCACTAATAGCATTTCGCAATAAGTAGTGGAGTCTTCAAGCACCTGCACCTGTATTCACTAAGAAATGGCGGCCAACCCCTAGCTGACATGTACCTGTCTCTGCATATACAACAAAAGAACCAAAAAGGGTCAAAACAGAGGAAGAAAAGAGATAAATGAAATGCCAAAAATAACATGATAAGGCCAAAGCTTGTGTAAATCTCGGACCAGTCTACTTGAGGTTAAGAGCTTTTTGGGACTGCCTCGTACTAAATCTGAACTCGAGACTGGCTCTAGTTCTCCTAGACAGGTATCTTTTCAATATTTTCATTAAGAGTTGTGTACGGGTTTTCACCTGCACACAGAGTGGGAGGAAAGTTTCTCAATGGTAGGAGGTTAGCGGTGAACCTTACATTTCAAACTATACTTTTCTCCTCACTAATGGTTTAAAACTGTGCAGAATCAGGTATAGCGCCATTAATGTAAAACAAAAGTACAGTATAAAGTTAAACTTAAAAAAAGTAGTATTTGATAGGCTGATAAAAAGGTACATATTATCTATGATCTTCAGAGTAGGTGTCAAATCACTTATAATAATTTACTGATGGGATCTTTTTGTTTATTAATCATGATATCATCAGATATCACCAAACCAAATCCCACCAATACATATGCCTTTAGCCTCATAAACTAATTACAATCTTAATTACTTTTCATTCAAAACAGTCGTCATCATATCATCATCATTACCAACATCATCAATGTAAAATCACTTTGATCTTTTTCTTCATTCTGTTGGTCTTTATCGTTGCCTCAATGGCCAATTCTCATTTTCTGCGAACGTACCTCTTTTCTTTGTTTTATTCGTCAATCTCTTTCTTTTTGTCAAATAAATTGCAAGCTTTGTGTGTAAAGTGAAACCACCTAATGACATTTTAAGCATTCTGAGCATGTTTTTTATTCTTCAACGGGTCGAAGAATGCAATGGAGAATGCAACAAAGATGGCAAAGAAGCATGTAAACAAATTACATTTGTCTGTAGATGTTTGTATGTTAAACTGTCTGTTGTATTCACTCTTTGTCAATGTCATGTTTTTCATTTGTATGCACGTAACACAAAAGGTAAAACTCAACCCAAATTAATGCTAAATTGTCCAAATTGTTGAAACATTGTAGTCACTTATATGAACTTATTAGATACATTTTCTGAAATGTTTTAAAAAAATCTTTTTTTAAATTTACATAAAACACAAAGTAAATGTTTGGGTTGATTTTATTCTAAAGTGTTAAAATACCTCGTCAAGGTTTTTTTTTTTTATGTAATAACTCTCTAATAGCCTACCATTAAAGACTATTTCATCTGTAATCAATGTAAAGAAAAAATGTTACCTGCAATCACCTGAAAATGATCAAAAAATGTCAACTCTGATAACCAGGATGAAATAGTGACACGTGATATGCAATGAGGCCTTTAATATACCTTGTATCAGTAAATTGTGTAGGTCTCTGTCAGCTTCTCATATCCTCCATTTCTCTCTTTCTTTAGGACTCAAATAAATCAAGTACACAGAGCTTAAGTGACACTGGATACTCTTCAGATGGGATCTCCAGCTCACAAGGGGAGATAACAGGTCAGATCCAGGAAGGGGAAATCAAGCTTAATGAAAGAGGTGTTTCCATTCCTTCAGACATCAAAAAATTAGAGAGCACTATGAAGCCTCTGTTTGAATCAAAGACTGCTACAGATGCAAAGCATAGACCACATTCCCTTTCTGTGGGGCAAGAGAAAGAACACATTCCTGATGAGGAAGCACTAAGGGATGAATCAGAGGATGATCTAAGTTGTAAACTTCGCCATGATTATGTGGAAGACAGCAGTGAAAGTGGTCTGTCACCCTTGCCAATAAGACAAAAAAAGTCCCATAAAGATTTAACTGATGAAGAATATATGAGACGGCAGATTATGGAGATGAGTGCTGATGAAGAAGAATTAGAAGAATATGGAAACCAGAAAACAAAAAAGAAAACTAGTGGAGATTCAGGTAAAGAGAGGAGGCGACTATCTCATCAGTCAAATAGTTTTGAAGAAGACAAAAAGATATCTGAAGGTTCTTTTAAGGCAAATGAAGAAGAGGATGTTGTTGTGGCAGGAGGCCTTCGCCGTTTTAAGACTATTGAGCTAAATAACACCAACAGCTACAACCGAGACATTGAACTCAGTAATGAGCATGACCTTCGAGAACCTGAGCTTGAAATGGAGAGTTTGACTGGTTCACCAGAAGAAAGATCCAAGGGCGATTATTCATCCACCCTTCCTGCCACCACTCCCAGCTACACTTCTGGAACATCACCGACCTCTGTGTCATCTATGGAGGATGACAGTGACAGCAGCCCTAGTAGAAGAGCAAGGCTTGAAGAAGCAAAACAGCAAAGGAAGGCTCGACATCGGTCCCACGGCCCTCTGCTTCCCACAATTGAAGACTCCTCTGAGGAAGATGAGCTCCGAGAAGAAGAGGAACTGCTTAGAGAACAAGAGCAGATGAGAGATCTGGAACAACAGAGAATTCGAAGTACTGCTCGAAAAACAAAAAGAGATAAAGAAGAGCTGCGGGCACAAAGGCGCAGAGAACGATCCAAAACTCCACCCAGTAATCTTTCCCCTATTGAGGATGCATCACCTACAGAGGAGTTGAGACAAGCTGCAGAGATGGAGGAGCTCCATAGATCATCCTGTTCTGAATACTCACCTTCCATGGACTCAGAAGCAGAAGGTTTTGAGATGATTGGTGGAAAGCTTTACAAATCAGGAAATGAATTTAACCTTCCAACCTTCACATCCCTCTACTCACCAACAGAGAAAACAATGTTACCATCTGACAAAACCTTAAAGAGTGCAGAGGAAGTTTATGAAGAGATGATGAGGAAGGCACAACTCATGCAGAAGCATGGACAAAAAGGTGCCTCTCAGCCAGATAGTGGTCATCATCTTGATGCTGGAACATCCCTAACACCTGGCTCAAGCCCAACACAAGTTACTGCCCCCTTGTCCTTTTCAACATCAGGCAGTGACTCAAGAATAGGAGGCATGCATGCTACACAGCATCTGTCTAAAGAAACACAAAACAGAATGATGACACAGAGTGCCAAAATTGAAGGAGTTGTTGGAGTTGCCACCACCAAAGGTCAAATTACTCAGGCAGCCTCAGGTCGTCAGACTGGAGGTCCAGTGCCTAGTAGCAACAGAGCTGGGTCCCAGAGGCCAACTCAAGCAGTACCTGATCCTGGATCATCCTCATTGACCTCCAAGGTCTTTTCACTTTTTAAAGGACCCAGCCCCCCAGTCTCTCCAACTACTTCCCCAACACGAAGTCCAACACATCCAACATCTGTTCGACCGACTAGCGGTAGCAACAGGCAGCTACCAACCTTGCCCTCTGGTGCGACAACAGCTCCGGCGTCCCATGGTTCACAGGTACCTCAAAGAACAATGTCACCTCGTCTTGTACGACAGCAGTCATCCCAAGATTCACCTGTGATGGTCATAACACTAGGCTCTGAAAAGCCCAGCCCTGGCAAGCCAATTACTGTGAATTCATCCACTTCCCCCATATCGTCACCAACAGAGGCCAGTTGTAAAACCTTGTATGGCTCACAACCCCCTCCAACAACCTCTCCAACATCACCTCAGCTGCATTCATATCAACAGCAAAAGCAATCTTCACAAATTGGGCAGAATATAGAAAAAGTAAATGTTGGTGTGAGTGCTGGGATTACAAGCACACAAAGCCGTGCTTCAAAGGTTGTGGGACAAAGTCTTACCCAGCAAAGTACAAATGTTGTGGATCTGAGAGCTCCATTAAGACCTGCTCCAATTATTATGACAGATCAAGGAATGGATCTAACATCTCTTGCCTCTGACACAAGAAGATACTCTTTAGGAACAGAGCAGTCATCCACCAGACACACAGCAGTGCAGCCTCTTATTATGAATCTCAATGCACAGGAGCAGCCACATGTTTCTGTATCAACACCAACAACAGTGAGTGTAACAGTTGCAGGGTCAATGTTCATATCTCAACCGAAACAACCTGTTGTATATGGAGACCCGTTACAGAACCGTGTGGATCTAGGTCAGGGTGTAGGATCAGCTGTTTGTTTAACCCAAAGTAAAACACCAGTTACTGATCCATCCATACCCAAAATTGATGCCTGTCTGGAAAATCTGGGCATACAGCAGCAGCAACTGCAATTACAGCAGCAAAAACTCTTGCAGCAGCAACAGCTTCTGGAACAGCAGCTCCAACAGCATCAACAGCAGTCCTCTTTTGCTCGTTACAATTTAGCCAATCAAGTACAGCCACTGTTAGTAAAAAAAGACATTGTAGTTTCCCAAACAAGCAGTGACCAACCTGTGGTGACAGCTAGTACCATACCTAGAGTTTCTCCTCTTGCGCCACCATCAGCGTCTGGGACTCTCGCTTCTAATGTATCCCTTGAAATGTATGGTGGAGTTGCCTTAGAGCTAAAAAATAAGCCAACTGTTATAAATCTATCAACAGGAAAACCGCATATAATGATGGTACAACTTGATGAGAGTAACGCTTCAAAACATGCCGTAGTGACTCAACTAGTTAAGCAAGAAGAGCAGACCCCTGCACCACCACCTCCTCCTCAGGTTTTAGATTTAACTGGACAACTAAAACAAGAAAGCCAAGCAGTTTGTTGTGATGTTGTTTACAAATTGCCCTTTGCTGGTACCTGTTCAGGGACATTCTCTCAGAAACAGACGGCAGGGCTGTCAGATAAAAATCCCTGCACTGAAGCTTCTCAAGCAGCACATCCTCCTCAACCACCACAATACATTGTTAGCCAGCAGCAACAATCACAACATAAGTCTCAAGTTACACAAGAGGAACACAAACTATATCCACCAGCTATAGCCTCTTCAGGTAGATTACAATCGTCTATGTCTGATACTAATCTGCCTTCGATGAGTGATGCTGGTACCTACCAGAATAATTTCCAGGGTGGTCTGGCTGTAGACCTCAGCAGTATGAATCAAGGTTATCATGGTGGACACCTGGGCATGGGAGCACAGTATGGATCTTACACAGACTTACGACAACAGGGCGATTTTACAGGCCCTTCATTACCTATTCGTAGATATGGCTCCATGTCAAATATTAACTCTGATCATGCCAGTGGTTCACGTGATCTCACAGGATCACAGGACTCTAATCTTGCTCAGTATAGTGCAACAACTGCTAGAGAGATCAGTCGTATGTGTGCAGCCCTTAACACTGTAGACCAGTATGGAAGCCGTTATGGAAATAATGCTGAACTGGCAGCATATGGGGCTGCAAGAGGTGGACCTTTAGCCAGATTAAATCTCCAGCAAAGCTTAGCATCAATAAGGGCAAATTTGCTTTATGGACCAGATAGTAGACAAGCTGTGAATGGCCAAGCCCTAACAAATTTAATTAATGCAAGACAGGCAAGTATACGTGCCTTGTACCCAACTTCTATGAGAGGCGGTGATGGAATGATTTATTCTACTATAAATACTCCCATTGCTTCAACCTTGCCAATTACTACACAGCCTGGCCCAGTAATTCGTCCCATGCCAAGGGGAATTTACAGGCCCTATCCTACAGGTGTAACTGCAGTACCTTTGGCTAGTCTTACCAGATTGCCTCAAATGTCTCCCAGAATGCCTCTCTCCACACAGGGAACATATTCATACCCCACTCCAAACCAGTATCCTACATCTGTCACACCAACAGGAAGTGTTGCTGACTTAACCAGCTCCCAACAGGAAACTGCAGTATACCTTGGGAAGCCTTTAACAACAACACCAGGACCAACAACTGCCACTATTCCACCAACCCAACCTGCAGCACACTCAATTACGCAAAGTATATCTGCAGCTAGTATAAAAACCACAGGCGAACAGCAAATAGAACGTTATAAATTAACATCGCAAAGTATTGCTTCTCCTTCTCAAGCTCAAGGCCAACCTTTGACTGCCCAACAATTACAAGCTCAAATGCAGACACAGCAATTACCTACACAGATGGAACCTTTATCATTGACTCAAACCCAACCTCAAACACAACAGCCTTGTCAGTCTCAATCAGTAGTTCTGTCTCAGGGCCAGACACAAGCTGAAACTACTCAGACATCAAGCTCCAAACTATCCTCTCCAACTGATGTGCAAAAAAACAAGGAAGAGGAAAAACTCAATCAACAACAAGAGCAACTGCTGCAGCTAGAGAGAGAGCGGGTTGAATTAGAAAAACTGAGGCAGTTGCGACTGCAAGAGGAGTTAGAAAGAGATCGAATGGAGCTTCAACGTCACAGAGAAAAAGAACAACTGCTTGTTCAACGGGAAATTCAAGAACTGCAGACAATCAAACATCAAGTTCTCCAGCAACAGCAAGCTGAGAGGGAGACCCAACTGATAATGCAAAGAGAACAGTTAGCCCAGCAAAGAATGCAGCTTGAACAAATTCAGACTCTACAACAACAGCTTCAGCAGCAATTAGAGGAGCAGAAAAGGCAAAAGACAGCAGCAGTTGAAGCAGTGGCAGCAGCTGCAGCTGCTGAGGCTGCTGCTGCATCAGCTGCAGCAGTGGCTGCAGCAACATCAGCCCAGAGTGCCATCCAAGGGGTAGTTGTTGGATCAGGGGCCCCTCAAGGATTTATAATCTGTGATCAGACTGGTAGAGTCCTTCAGCAAGATGGACAGAGTGTGCAGTTTTGGCAAGATGGACAGGTTGTCCAAGCAGTCATGGCTGCTCGACCAATTCATAGCTCCACGTCAGAAATGTCTTTAAGAAGCAGTGACAAGCAAAGCGATTCTAAAATGATGAAAAAGCAGAATTCCATGCCTCGGTTGAGGGATGGCTCAGAGGAAGAGTCTGCCAAAAGAATTATAGATAGCTGTGTGCAAACAGATGATGAGGATGGTGAGGAAAGGTACTTGAATAGGCGAAGGAGAACAAGGCGTATTGCAGACTGCAGTGTACAGACTGATGAGGAAGACCAGGGAGAATGGGAACAACAACCAGTGAGGCGTAGACGGTCTCGTGTGTCCAAGCACAGTGAATCTAGTGCTGATACAAAATCTGATGGCTCCTCCAAGGTAGTTTCTGCAAGTATAGCTATTCAGACCACTAATGACTCATCATGTCAAACAGAGTCCGACCTACTCAGCAGAGTTTCACCTGCAATTCACATTACCATGGCAGAGACCTCAAAAGTTGACCTGTTGCATTATATAGCGGCTCCAGAAAGAACTCACAAAGGAGAGAGTCTAGCCTGCCAGACGGAACCAGAGTCACATTCTCAGGGGGTAGTCACCCCAAAGCTGAGTGTCCCCACAACTATTAGCCCATACTCGACAAGTCTTCATATAGTAGGTGGTAATTCATGTGACACAGCTTCCCCTAGACTCCAAGGAGTGGCAAAGTTTGAAAGGAGGAAACCAGATCCCTTGGAAATCAGCTATCATCAGCAACAAAATGAGTCTTCATCTCGCCAACCCCCAAAATTTCCCCAAGTACTGTACTCCCCAGTTTCTCCATTGTCTCCTCATCGGATGTTGGAGACAACTTTTGCCTCCCAGGAGAAGCTTAACAAGGCCCATGTCACACCCCAACAGAAGGCCTTCACTGCAGAATCTCCGCAACGTCATCAGTCTTTGCCAAGGCCCATAAAAAGTGTGCAGCGCTCCATGTCAGATCCTAAACCTCTCAGCCCAACATCAGAGGATCCTGCCAAGAACCGGTTCTCCCCGTATCATCAAGTGCTTTCCAACAGTCAGGTACAGAATAAACATTTTTATTTACAAATTATTTATTAAGCATATATTTTTGAATTATGTCTGTTGAAATGTTTTGAATTCAGTTAAATAAGCATTTATAAGAGAAAAAAGGGATTAGATTAAGGCTCATATACATACCTTTGGGTATATAGCAGAAACATAAGCCTTGAGCATCTTGTCTCATTACATCCCACTATTTCAATGGATTACACTGGGAGTTTATGTGTGTACTGTTACATTAATTTGTATAAAGTTTCCTTACTCTGATACCCTAAATAAAATCTATTGTTAACCAGCTTAATTCAGAAAGGCCATAACCACTGAATAGAGCTGAAGTGTATATAGTAATTTTGCTTCAGCAAAGTACACTGGCTCTATGAAGGCCTAGGTGGTTTATAAAGAACATTAATTATTAAAACAGTTTACAGAGTTTAAGAAACAGACAAGAAAGGTAATGGAGTTAGTTATGGAGAAATTTAAAGCCAGAATTGTTTACAATAAAATATTCCAAATTTTAACAATATCAGAAAGTGTTTTTCAATCTATCATCTAAAATTGTATTTAATGCTTTAACTGCAGACCTACCAAAGCAGGCTGTCTGCTTAAAATGACAGTCTGGGCAAGGAGTACATTAATAAGAGAATCAAGTAAATTTGAAAAAGGTGCAGAGGTTCACAGTTCATGTGGGAAAGAGTGGAAAACTTTCGCACATTTGGTCTCCATTGTAGTGTAACAAGACAAAAAAACATTCTACTTGCAGTTTGCTATAAGTCATGTAGTACGTAAAGCAAATACATCCAAAATCCTAGTTTTATAAAACCTATTAGTGGCAGCCTCAGGCTGTTTGGTTGCTTTTCTTAAGACAGGGGAGCTGCTCTGAGTTAATGGATGGAGCTAAACCAGGGGTCGGCAACCCAAACTGCTCAAAAAGCCATATTGGACCAAAAAAACAAAAGATAAATCAGTCTGCCGCCACAAAAATGTAAAAGTCTTATATAAGTCTCTTATGGCAACCCGGGCTCTAAGTGTATTATCCCACTATAGAAAAGGACTATGTGGGCTTAAATATATAATTAGCTTTCATGATTATATGTTTATCCTGGGGCAAATGTCACATAGCAACATGAGGTGATGGACAGGCAGTGAACGCTCCCATCGTGCACCGCTTCATCGCCCTTCACCATGCAGTTTAAGTTTTGTTGCATTGATGAAATATATAAACACAATAAAGGAATCTTTCTATGGTGGACGTGTTTCTGTTGGGAGGAGTTGATTGAGTCATGAGGAACCAAGCAGGAACTGACATCCGTCAGCAGTACTCTCTATCCCTGAAATCCCACATCCTCCATCACTATTATTCCTTGGTGTGATTTATATTTTTAGGAGTTCCCATAGCTGCATCAGAGCACTACCCGTTGGATCTATGGATGGTTTTCCATCCTTGCAACAAAACTACCATCAGTAGTGGAGTTTAGAGATGCAATCCACTTCTTAAATCTATCTTATCCTATCTTATCTTATCTATCGCTTCCCTAATTTTTCCAGAAGTTCTGCAATCGCTCTTTTTCTCTCACTCCAACCTCGGTGGTCGGCTGCATCTTTAGCCTTCCCTGGAAATACCTTTCCAAATTTTTCGTTTTATTTTTCGCCAACCTCTTATTACAAAGCAAATGCAGGCAATCCTTCTGCATTGATAATGAAAGCATATGTTTCGCTACATTCTTGAATCCTCTTTTCTCATCAGCTATCTTCCTTTTTTCCCTTTGTAATCCATGGTCCGAGACACAACTGCAGCTTTGTTTGCCTGGCACCGCGCCACGCTGGTTGCAAGTTATGACCACTGATCTCTATGGCAATGACACAAATAATTTTTAAATGTTTTTTATTATATAAATGTTTACAGCATTGGAAAACCTAATAAATGTGTGTTTGACCTCCTACACGCCATATTAAAACAAACAAACAAATAAAAAATCGATTTTGATAAATTTGTGAAAAAGCTCCAGGGAGTCGCAAGGGGGACGCTAAAGAGCCGCATGTGGCTCCGGAGCTGCGGGTTGCCGACCCCGGAGCTAAATAGAACAGATTTTATTTGTAAAAGAATCAATAGCAACCCTCAGTTTATTTTCCCTTCAGAATTTTGCACTGCATTATGTTGAACATAAAACTGAATTCATAGCTGTAGCATGAAGCATATAAAGATGGGGTATGAATATTTCTGATCTGTGCTTTAAAGGTCACTTACAAACATGAAGATTAATAAACATCTTCATTCACATTAATGTAGGTACATAATCACAGCATATGTAGCACCGAAGAGGAGGAAACAGAATGTTCTCATACAGGCATCTGGCCATGCAATAAACGCCTCTCATCCCTCTATTTACTCCTTCATCTTCCTCCTTTACTTTCTCAGTCTGTTATTCTCTCACATTCTGTGTTCATGCAATGCTTTTTATATCTGGAAAACCCCTAAAGTGATGCCTGAAGGACACACAATGGGAAGAAATTCGGGCTCTGCTTTGTTCTCTGTATGATTGTTAGCAGCTGGGCAAAGTGAATTAACTCTACTCTCCTCTACGACCGAAATAAGTCTTCACATTTTTAATTACAATTTAGAATCTTAGTTTTTTATACCATGGCTCTTTTGGATAATGCTTCACAAAATCATCCTGGATCTACTTAACATTTATATTTTGTAAGTAATAAATTGACTTAGATTTATTTTGCATTTTTATCGTTTCATGTAGAGAATTCGATCCTATCTGCATGCAATTTCCAGATATGTGTAAAAAACCAACACATGTGGATGTTTTAGGAGTGAATTAGCTAATGGAAATGAAATCTTTGGAATTAATGCTTTATCTTGCTGAACTATTCTTGATATTTTTTTCCTTTTGGAATACTTTATTCTGATTGGGCATATTGCACTTTATTGCCATATAGTTTGATTTTAAATCCTGGTTCTTTTTTGTGTATTTTAAAAACAAAATAATTAAACAAAAGTTGTGCAAGAAACGTATAAGAAACAACTTAGGTTATATGCATCATGACAGATATACAGTAGATGACATATCAGCAGCTAGTTTATTTGGTTTAAAAATTTCTATAACTCTTTATGGGATGTAAAGTGTACATGGTAAAGCATAAACAGAGTTTAAGAGGTATCTGCTATAGAGGCAAATGTATAGATACATCATTAGATGACTCAGACATAAGACTGAGACTTCAGCTGGTTTACATTTAAGATATATCCTCAGTGCTTTGTAGGGCTGGGCAATATGGACCAAAATGAATATTTTGATTAAGCCCAATGGGGATATACTAAATTTTTCTCAATATGTTTTGAATTTCATAAATTAATGTTAAAAATGCAGTTTTGAATCTAACCTTATTCCTAAATGTCACAAATGCATATTTCTAATGAGCTGCAATAAGAAAAACATGGGCAATGGCTGAAAACAAACAACTTATTGACATACATACTGTAAAAGTGTAAAAGTACATTATAAAGCAAGGTAGACCATCATATAAATAATATAGTCTTATCTTATATGTCTTTAAAAAAAATTCTATTTTTATATTTCAATATAGTACCAAGCCTTAAATCTGTAATTTGAGAGACTGCTATAATTATTGATCCTGTATCCATTTCATAGCTGATATTGTGATAATACTATGGAGAGTAACTTTTATTATGTTTCTGAGATAAAGAAATATATTGGCACTCTGCAAATGTCAGTTAAACCATTAAGTTTAATTGAAATAAATGGATGTTGTTTGTAGCTGAGCGTTTGCTTTTCTTTGTCTGGCTGTCATGGCAGATGGGCTCCCTGCAGCAGCAGCAGCAGAACTCTCTGATGAGGAAAGTAAAGAGGACCCTCCCCAGTCCCCCTCCAGATGAAGCTCCACTTCCCATTGTTACTCCAGCACAAATGTATAGCTCCCCCAGCATGTCTCAGAGAGTGCTTCCAAGACCAGCCCAAGGAGTCACCAAGGCTGGCCTTTTGAGCGAATTAAAAGTGGTGGAGCAAGAGTCATCTAAGCTCCGTAAGCAGCAGGCTGAACTGGAGGAAGAAGAAAAAGAGATAGATGCCAAGCTGCGCTACTTGGAGCTGGGTATAACTCAGCGTAAGGAAACCATGGTAAAGGAGAGGGAGAGGAGAGAGTTAGCTTATCTGCGATGCATGGGTGATGCTCGAGACTATATGTCAGACAGTGAACTAAATAACCTCAGGATGGCTGCTGCAACTGGAGCCTATGATGCTAATGGTTTACTGACAAGACCTAGTACTGCACCGCTAAGTCAGTTTACCAATGATCTTAATGCAACATCACAGTATCCCTCAACCTCTTCTTATATGCCATATCCATACCCTCAAAGTCAACCATCAACACAGCAGCCTGGTTCTGCATACCAGCCAATAGGTTTTCAAACTCCTCAGTACCCTCCATCCTCTGCCCCTCAGCCTGGAACATTCCAGCCCCATCCTCCATCACTTCCTGGTTATCAGAACCAGGGAACCTACTCCTCCCGCTTGTATGGCCAGTCCTCCTACCAAAGTGACTTCACTATGCAGCAGCATGCTCACCAGGGCTTTCATTCACCTGGTCAGCCTTTGCCAGGACAGAGCCTTCCCTATCCAAGTCACAGTTCTTATCAGCATGGTCTGACCTACCAGCCACAGGCAGAGATCCTTACCGTCCATCAAAGACCGAGGCAAACCTCGTTGGCTGACCTTGAACAAAAACTTCCCACCAATTATGAAGTCATTAGCAACCCAGCAGTTTCAGTGGCCACATCTGCTCCAGAAAGCAATTTTGCACCAGCTTACAACAATGCATTTGGACAATACCGCCCACCTGAGCCTGGCCTAACTCACTCTGTGGACAGTCCCACTTCTGCTTATACTTCAGATGGTCTGTACACATCCAACTTGGAGCAGAATATTCCAAGAAACTATGTAATGATTGATGACATCAGTGAGTTGACTAAAGACAACACTGGTCATCCTACTGATGCTCATGGTCATTCCATGGGAGGAAGGTATCGCAGTGAGAATGGCTCTGCACGAGGACCTGGCTATGAGGAGCCTGTTGATGCTTACGGAAGACCTACAGGAGCAGGTACTTACCAAAGCACAGTTGACAGTCGTACCAGCACCACAGTAAGTGGGGGCTCATCTTATTACTACGATGATTATAAACATCCCTCTCGCTCTGGTGGCCATAAAATCTCCTCCAAAAATCTTGCTCCTGCTGTAGTCTCCTCCAAACGTAGTAAGCACAGGAAACAAGGAATGGAGCAGAAGATTTCCAAATTCTCACCTATTGAGGAAGCTCGGGATGTGGAGTCAGATCTTGCTTCTTATACAATGCCGACGTCAACTGCAGGCACCTGTCCAGCTGGGTCAAGATCTAAGAAGCATCAAGGTGATGTCAGCTATGGCATAAAGAAAAATGCATATGATCAACAGAAATATTATGGCACCAGCCATGAAGGTCTCGAAGAGGATGATCGCATGTACAGCTCTGGACGTTCCAGATCTACTGGCTATGGTATGGATAAGATTTCCTCCAGGGATGCAACAGGGCACCGCAGCAAATCTTATGAAAGAGATGCCATGGAGCGTTCTCATAGAAGTAGCCGAAGTGGACGTCCTCCAATGCGAGCTCAGAATTCAGAAGAGGAGAGTCCACTTAGTCCTGTTGGCAAGCCTGTAGGTATGGGAAGAAGCTCTGCCATGTCTGAAGCCCATGATGTGAGAAACCAATATGGTTCCAGCCATTCGCTACCAGATGTGCAAGATCACCATAAAAAGGAGCTTCCCCGAAGTCATGTCTATAAACCAGATGATCCTTATCTCGTAGATGACATGCACTGTGCTGTTTCTGATAGTGAAGGTAACTGGTGCTAAATTAATTCTTCTGTGATTTTTTTTCAATCTTCAGATGTGCTGAACAGACTGCATGTGCACTCTGAAGGAGCAGTTTGGTTCTTTTGTCTCTTTTTTTTCTTGTTCATATAAAGCCAAAATACGTCATTTTTTTGTGCATGGCTTTTAAGTTCTAGATCATTTGAGTTTTTAGCTTTTTTTGTTTGAATCTGCATGGCTCTGGACTGATGGGCATGTTTCCTCACTTCCACATTAATCTGCATGCTATTCCACTCACTGTATTACAGCTGTTGACTGATAATATGTTAATTGCTTTTCAAAAAAGCCTATCATTTGGGCCAAGAGGAGACTGACTGGTTTGAAAAACCACGAGAGGCCCGCTCTGATCGCTCAAGACATCATGGGAGCGGAGGTCACTCCTCCACAGGGAGGCGTAGTAAACATACCTACCATGACTATGATGAGCCTCCAGAAGAATATTGTCAACAGGATGAGTACAACCAGCGCCACCCTTCTTCTTCATCACGGGATCATCGCCACCACGGCAGCAGCTCTGGTAGACACAGTTCGTCCCGCCACTCCTCAGAGGACCCTAAATCTTCAAGGTCTTCCAGGACCCACCCCAAAGATCCATCTGGTCGCACTGATGGCAGGATCTCCTCATCCACCCAAAGGAGGAGTGGTACAGAGTCTCGCTCTGCCCATGGAAGCCCACGCAACTCAGGCGAGTTCTCTCGTGAGCCTGTTTCTGGTCATCACCATGGCACTGGGGGACGAAGCCAAAGAGCTCAAGGTGATCGGACAACTGGCAGGAGACCAGATTCTTCCAAGTCACAGAACCTGCAGCCACCTCAGGGACAAGCTGGGCAGCAGCGATCAGAGGGTCAGGGGCAAACAGGAAGGCATTCAGGTTCTGAACAACTTGATGGAAACCAGCAGGTGCAGCAGCAGCAGCAGAGTGTACAACAACAACAACAGCAACAGCCATCACAGCACAATCAAAGCCCACAGAGTAACCAGCAAGCTACAAGCGCAGGAGCTGGACCAGGACAGCAACAACAGCAAGCAAGACCTGCACAAACTCCATCACAGGGACGCCAACCAGGAATCGGGTCTGCAGCAGGGCAGTCAGCCACGGCAGTAAGTGGATCTGGTTTTGTTTTTTCTAGACTACTAAATCATGGATGTGCTTTAGTAGTCGTGAAATGTGATATTTTTTACGAAATTATTTCGGAAAAAATCAGATCAATGCTTAAGTTATAGTGTCTTATATTTCGCTATTTAGATGTATTTAACTTTCAAAAAATCCCAAATTTCAACTAAAACAGAAAATAAAAAAATAAAAATATGCATTTTTTTCAGATTAAAAAAAAAATAAGATTTTACATTGATTATTAAACACGCAACACTACTGTTTTCATTTAGCAAGAGCGTAGAAGACAATATTTGGTTGAAAAATTATAATTCATTAGTAACAACTCTCATGGTCCCCTTTATGGTCTTTGCAAGTCTTTAACAATTTAAGTAGCACCCTAACATTAATACATTTAAATACAATCTGAAATATACTGGCTTTCATGTGAAGATTAAAATTTCAAGGAACAGTTTGCACTGATCTCTGATTTTTTACATGCATTAAAAATGAAGCATGTGTTTTTCTCAATATCTTAATCATATTATGTTTTATATTTTAAATCCCGTTATATATTATTATTATTCTAATCATATTTTATATACAAATTGTGATAAATAGCCCCTTAGTGAAACATATAAGAACTGAATAACTACTGTATGTTTAAACCTATATAAGAATGAAAAATTACAGACACAGAGAATTAAAGTCAGAACTGGATCCAAAAGCTTATTTAAACTCTGTTAATTCTGTATTGCTGATTATAGCTGCCACAACTAACATTAGCTGTTTCATGGTGCTGTAATGTTTAATTTTGGCAGTTATATCATGCTCTATGGGCATTATTAATATTATTATTATTATTATTGTTATTATTGTTATTATTCCTGTTGTTGTTAATATTATATTACAATTTTTATGTTATATTTCCTTAATAAATTATGCTTAAAAACAGCAATGACAAAAACAATTAAAACTAACAAAGTAACTAATCAGAACTATTTCTTACCTGTGTGCCATTTTGCAGGGAAAAATAGATGTCCCTCCTGCGGCTGCTGGCACAGGAGTGAGACCTGCACCAGGAATCACAGCAGCACCTCCGCCTACTAAAATAGCCACGCCACCTCTAACCGGCATTGGTAATAACCTCCACCAAAGAGGTTATGTTTTTTAGAGAGCTTGTGTGTGTGTCTGTCTGACTGTCTGTCTGTGAACAAGATAACTTTAAAAGGTATGGATGGGTTTTAATTACATTTTTTATCATAGGTGTCCGTCGTGCAAATTAACAAACCATTATATTTTATGGATAATATAGATCATTATCTGGACATAAAAGATTCTTCTCTAACATTGTGAGATAGAGATACTTGGTTGAACAAGCATTTCCTCACTAAACCAGTGGGCGGCAGCAAGAAGGTTCTGGGCGACTGTAGTTCAATTGGCATCTCTAAATTGTTCTTAGGTGTGAGCGTGTGTGCATCGTATGTCTTCTTGTGTCTCTGTGTTGCCCTGCGACAGACTGTTGACCCGTCCAGGGTGTACCCCGCCTCTTGCTCATAGACTGCTGGAGATAGGCACCGGCCCTACTGTGACCCTGACGGAATAAGCTGGAGAAGATGGATGGATGCAAAATGCAAACACTGTTAGAAAGATTGTTGTTTGTTGAACAATCATTTTTATTTTACTGGCAGACTAAAAACGTGCCTGGTATTCCTAACACGGGAATACCAGGCACTGAAAACAGGCTTCAATATAGGAAGGGAACACACAAGAAAACAAGACACTGAACTTCGAAATAAAACAGGAGCACAAGAAGAAACAAATAACAGACCAAGACAGGACATTGTTAAGGGTTAGGGCTCAGTGGCAGCATAGATCTGTATTTGCATATTTTCCATCATCTCTTGGCAAAATCATAATCCTCATTCAATGTAAAAAAAGATAGCAATGTTTCCTTCAGCTCATCTTTAATGACTGAATATGATCGTCTTCAAAACAGTGACCCACTGACTCTTAGGAGTAGCTTTAAATACTTCAATGGATTCAAAAAATAATTATTTTTGTCTTTTGGTTCACTTTCATGTGTCAGTCAGTTACTATTATTTAAAAGTACAGTGTTATTGGAATGTGTTTTATTGTTTCACTTAGGCTCTAAGGCAGCTCCTGTTGGAATCGGAAGCAAGCCTGTAGGAATAGGAAGCGCTGCAGCAGGTCAGGCCCCAGGTCCAGACGGGGAAAATGTTCTAACCAAAATCCTGCAGGGAGGGGCAGCTGAGCAGGCAGGAAAACTGGGAGATGGTATGATTATTTTTTATCTTTGTTTTGCAGCCAATTGTTTTACACTACTGGAAAAAAGCTCAGCTTTTCTTATTTATCTAAATTTCCTCTGTCAATTTGACAGCTTTGTCTGGACTTGGGAAGAAGTTCACCTCATTGTGGTGAACAAAAATTTTGCAAGTAAGTACACTACATTTTTTGTCTCATATACATGGATTACAATTGACATATTCAATATATTTATTAAGATCATTTATGTGCCATGGTAAAGTCAAATATAATGTGCGTATAACATTTTTTCATGTGTTTGTTTGTTTTGCTGATGTAGATTTCATGTGATAGAAAAGCAAATTTGAGTATAAATGTGAAGTATATGGAAAATCGTACATACATTATTTCATTAATGAAAATCTGCTCTGCACTAGTAGTTAGATCCATTCATAAAACGCTAAAGTATGTGTGGCAGAAAGCTACAACCACACATCACCCTAAACTCATCTGGCCTTCCGGGACATTTTTCAAAGATGATTGAAATATAGGATTCCCTCCAGAGCAATCCTGAAGTTGGACTTAATTTGGACTTAATTTGAGACTTGTGCTGAGGTTCACCTTCTAGCAGGATAATGATTCTAAAATTGAAACATAGCTAAGATTGCATAGTTTAGATCAAGTAAATTGACAAATTCATATAGCACTTTATACTGACTACTCAGGGAATACACTAAAGCTACATTCAACCATTTAAACTAAAGCTTGCACATATTTAAAATATTTGTAGGCAGTGTGTAGTTAAGTGGTTTAATTTGGGTGGACTGACACATGTGGCAGAAGGAAGCTGCAACTGTCATTCCTTCTCACGTAAAGGGTCTACATGGATCTTCCACCAATATCTCTAAAACAACCCCCCCCCCCACTGTTACAATAAAAAAAATACTACTCATGTGAGATTTTGTCCATATAAAAAGAAAGAAGACTAAGAATAGCGAAAGTAAGAGACTTATACTTCTGTAGATGCAAGTAGCAGCCATTAGAAATGGTGAAGTAGGGGATGGTCAGGCTGCCTTGAATTTCCAAGTTGTCAGTCCGATCTTTGTAAGCGTTGCAGTTAAAATGTCTTTCTCGGATGTTGGAATCCCAAAGCTTCTACAGTAGTAAAAATGGAATAGAGCATTAATAACTTCAGGCCTGTTTCCATGATGTCTTCGGTAAATAAATGCTTTGAGTGTTGCTGAAGCATCTGAAGCTCTCTCAGCTGACAGTGTCGGCCTCCACCTGTCAATTGATTACAAGCTTCCTGACTAACCCCTCAGTCAATGGCTGTGTCCAAACATCCGCTCTAACCCCTACATCCCTCAGTCACTATATAGAGCGGGGACTATATAGTGGACTTTATATTGAACTCAGTTAACTCACCGTTTGAACAGATGATCACTACTTTTTATCCCCCGTCGGTCACGTAACTCCTTCTCCAGTGTGCAAAGCCTGCGCCATCTTTGTTATTAGTCTGCGCTGTCAGGTAGCGACAGCCTATGGCGATAGCAGGCCGCTATGACAGCAAATCCCATAATGCTTTACGAGGAGAGCTCTCCTCTCAAAGTATTCCAGGATATACAGTATCTGCTTATCTAGTGACCATGGGTGAGCACTACTTTTTAAGGTGTATTATGGGAAATTTCGAGTCCACTACATTTTCATCCACTAGACGTTCAGACAATCATTTAAATTTCCATAACCACTATATAGTGCCCTATATAGTGATTAGGTAGGACATTGGGACACAGCTAATGTGTGAGGTTAAAAGAATCAACACTGGAGCCTTTTTGGGGATGTGTTCTTTCCCAACTCTTCTACTCCCTGTAAATTAATATCGCCTGCAGCTAAAGCTGCTAAAGATGATGGAGATAAGGGTAGTGTTGGAGAACAATCTCTACACCATCCTGAACAACAACCCCCTTTCATCCTAAACCACACTGTTTTAACTGCAGACCATGACCAGTTTCTAGTGACCTGTGGCAGTCCTCACACATGGACTGTTTGGAAACAGGCCCAGAGGCTTCCCACGGGAGATGCTGGGCACCCTCTTCCTTAGTTTGGCTCACCTACAAAACAAGACAAGTCAAAACTGCAAAAAAAAAAAAAGGTCTGCAAAGAGAACCAATGGGGCTGACCCTTCTTCTACCCCCAAACTGTACAGGTCAAAGGCAAACATGTATGCTTACTAGACACTTCCTAGTCAGACTCTACTGATTTTAGTATAGAGTGCTAAAGACAAAAAATGAGCTAGCATAGAATTAGTTTTTTTTTCCTAGACAGTCTCTGTTGAGCAAAATATACTCCTCACGGTTAGGGTAGGGTGAGCTATTCACCATAAGTAATTGCACTGTTACAACCTGGCCTCAGTCTTTAATTATTTAGAATATATGGACATAAAGATGGGCTCCACACTCACACATTTTTATGTACTGCTACAACCCTTCTATATCTTATTTTTTTTTTATCCCTTTCAAATGTTTTTCTTCATTCTGTAGTTGTGTCGTTTTAACTGTTTATTACAACGTGAGCAATGAAAAACTGAAGTTAAATACCTGTTTGCTCACAAAAACTTAGCCATTTCAGTGAACTTTGATTTTTAACTGTTGTATTACAAGATTCATACAATCAAAGCTTATCCCTCTGAAAAATCAAACTACATCTAATGGATACTTTGAAATTGAAAAAAAAAAAACGTTTTAAAAAAAAAAATAAAAATAAAAAAAATAATTGAGGCCCCAGAAGCGCAAAGCTGGTAGGGACTTATATCTAAAATGGGGGAAAAAAATGCTTTTTCTAAATTGAGGATGAATTCAAATTCTCTGAACAGTGATTTTTATTTTAAACACATGCCAAAAAGCAGCTTTCTCTTTTACTTTATCCTTCACCACTTTGTGTTGCTTTATAAAATATAAGTTTGTAATAGCAGTGTGACAAAATATACGTACGTCAATGGAAAAAGAAGTTGGGTTATGAATGAAATGTCTATGAAATTGCAGAGGCTCTGCAGAGAACATGAAATATGATACAGTTTTATGGAAAATGATGATGTATTGGTTTATTGCTCCTCTGTGCTTTTTCTTTCAGGAGATGAAGAAATTAAATGACATGGACTAGTTGCTTTGCACCGAAAAACCTATGAAACCACCTTACATATTTTTCACATCCACCATGAAAAAGAAGAATGATCCTAAATGCATCAGTCAGTATGGATGTTTTTTATTGATCTGATTACGTGGGTAAAAACATGGTAATACAGGAAATATAAGGCATGTGTTAATGGTTTTATTGTTAGGATTATGTTAATCTGTTATATTCAAGAAAAGGAAATCATGTAATGTTTTCATTTCATTAATAGCTTAACACTCTGTCAGATGTGTATTTACATAGATTAGCATAGTTTATGCCTGCAAAATAAGAAGACTCAAGTGAAGTGATGACTCATTAAATGTCGTGAATCTCTGCACCTTTTCTTTACCCCAATTTACCAAACAGAGCTGGAATCAAAGGATGCCTTGTCAGCAGTGAATTCCCCAGACACGGGCTCTTGACTGAAGTGAATTAAATAAGGGAGATCGCTTTGTCAGCAGGCTGGTACAAAACATGAATGGAGGACTGAAGAGGGATACAAGTAAGTGGAGGTTTTCAGAGAACTCCAAGTCCCAGACTGATGATTCAGGAGATGTCTAAGACCTCATTAGAACAATATTAAACTGGTAAAAGATACCTGCAAATTAGTCTGACTGTGCATAGAGACACTTCTCAGTAGATCATTTCAAATTTACTTTGATTTTGGTGGTTAATCTAATTTATAGACCTATATTAAATATGGTAAACAATTTCTGCTTGGAACATGGGCTCAGAGGTTAAAGGCCAAATGATAAAAGTGCAGGGCTGGAAGGGTTGCCTCTGCATCCTAACAATAATATGGGCCAAGCAAAGCATGCTGAACTTAGCCTTAGAAAGCTAAGTTGATCTCAGCTTTAATGTAAACACTTAGAAACAATTTAAAGGGTGTAGGGCTTCTCAGTATGATGACAAATGATACACATTATTCATTACATGGCAGACTGAACAACTTCTGCTTGGGTAGAGCAGAGCTGCGAAAGTGCAGATAAAAGAGATTTTAATTCACTATACTTGGCTTAATGTCAAAACAAATCCCATGATTTTTATACATATAACTGAGGCTGAGTTGGTTTTCCATCTTTTCTTTGACTTTTGCCAAATAAGATTAACGTCTGCTATCATGGAATTTCTTATAGTGTTTTCTCTGAAGCACTATGCCTTGCATGATAATGACTTTTTAAAGGCCTAAAGCAAGGATAACTGTCAAAATTAGCTGATTTTGGTAGTATATTTCAGTGATGGAGGATGTTTCACTAGCTTTCGCATATCTTATCCATAAATGTAAGCCGGTTTAGAACCACCTCTGCTGTATGGTCTTCATGTCCTCCACTGTGCAGCTGGCAGGCAGCCCTGTGCAAAAAGCCTCTCACTGAGGGCACCAGTAGAATCAGAAGGGATTGGGAAGCATGACACTGTTTAAATTTTTAGAGGCAGGGGAAGTGGCTCTGTATTTTGAATGTCGGGCAAAAAGAGATCTGGATTAAATAGGTTTCATCTGACTAGGGCTCCAGCTTTCACCAATTTGCTGACTTACCTGTATTTGTTATGGTTAACCTTAAGTTTCTGAGTCAATTCTGAGATTAATAATCTCCTATACCAGCTTTTCAGTGCAGCGGCCGGGCAATATCTTGGTAAATTTAGAGATGTGGCACACCTAATCAAACTCTAGATGACATATAGAACAGTGCTCTGCGAGATGTTTAAAACTTGAGGTTTTTTTTTAAACTAGTTCTGCTTTAATGTCATTCCTAACTTTATCTCTGACTTGCCTGCTGTCTTCCTAGGTCTTTAAGGTGCTGTTTGCTCTCTAGGTAACCTTTACAGTGTACATTGAGCCTCACACAGCTGGAATTGTTCCCAGAAAGATTAATTTCACTCTTTTTATATGTGACTGTTAAAGATAGGCTCTGTGTATGCACCTTGAAAATTTCTATAAAAATGCACTGGACTGCATTTTAGAAAGAGTTATCAGAATAAAGGGGACTAAGACAAATGCGTGACATACCTTCCAGATTTAATTTGCAAAAATCTGTAAACAAAAAAAAAAATCATTCATCATATTTCTTCCTATTTGTAAGTGTGCGAATCTTTGTATTGGCATAACAAAATAAAACAATTAAAGCGGCTTTTCCAGTTCTAAAAATACTGTAAACAAGATCAGTTGATTAGAAAAGTTTTTTGAAGTTCTCAAATACACGGCCCTTATTCTAGCTTTCTGCTTTTGAGGTTGTTTTCGCTGCAACTATGTACACTAAGAGGATTTTTATAACTTTCACCAGCAGGAAAAAAACAAACAAAAAAAATTTCATCTGGCAAATTAAACAACTGATATTGTATTGAAACAAAATAACCACAATTTTTCAGAGACAATTTTTTTTTCCTATTACCCTTAATAATAAACTCTATGAGAAATAGCAAATGACCAGTTGTGATTCTCCTTTTCTTTTAATTAAACTGATTATTAATTATTGTACTTTAATAATGCTGTGGCTCATTGGATGAAGATGAGGTCCACAGCCAAAATGCATTTAAAATATGAATATTAATAGTGCAGTTGATTAACTGCAGTATAAGGAAGAAGATTGTTAACAGTTTATTACAACCAGCTTCCTAACTTTTTTATTTATCTATTTTCAGGTTAGTAATGAGGAAGTGTCCAAGTAGAGGAAGAAAACACCACTTCCTTCTTGCTTTCTTTCCTCCTGCATAAGGAATATCCCTGCATGGAACCTGTGGGAAAGTATTGCAATCTTTACTAACAGAGGCAGGAGTGGGAGTTTATCAGACAACCTTTCCATCCATGTTGCTGCTTTGCTACAGCTCTGCAAAAGAAGCCTTACAGCGCCCTCTGCAGAGATTTCCTTGCAACGCCAGGCGCCTCTGTGGAAAACACGTTGCAATAGGATCTTTGATTCTACAATGATGCTTTTTGAGCATTCTCAAAAAAAAAAAAAGGTTGGATTGCATAGGTTTTTCTTGTCTCAAAGAAACCAGTTTTACCCTACAATGACGACATGCACCCGGAACGCACGAAGCTTTTAACAGCAACAAGAAACCAACTTGGAGATTCCACGAAAATCCTTTTCCACACTACATTCCAGTATAGGGAACTTGTACAGTTCTCTGAATGTGTTTTTAATTTCTCGTCTGTTCATTACCGTGTCTACAGAAAGCATTGTGTAAACATGGATGTGAGAATGCACGTACAAATGGAAAAAAAAAAATGAAAACAATCTATAAAAAATGAGCCCATATCCATTCTTTTTTCACGACTTAAGATGCCGCTACTCATTAAGTGTTGGGTTTTTTTTAAAGGAAGGGACTTACTACCAGCGTGCCCAAACGTGTGAACTCACACAGACGAGAGGACCAAATGAAAGAGTGGCCACGGCTCTTTATCAGCCATTGCTAAGCCATCATTAAAGACATCCTTTTTTATTAATTTGTCTCATCTGTTTTTTGTTTTTGTTTTTTTCTTGTTCTTTTGCCTGATTTTGAATGGAAGAGCCTTATTCACGTATTTTTTCACTTGTATACCTCATGTTTTAAAATGTCCATATAATTTCTTTTTAATGTATACTATTGTATGTACATAAAAATATCAGAGATCTATGATGTAAATTTGTCATTTGTGTATTCAACGAGTCACTCTTCAGTGAATTTATCCATTTTTATGTTGTTGCTATGTTTTTTTGTAAAAGTTTATATTTTCACTTTGTATTTGTTTGAATCTTGTTGCATCAAAGGATTTGCTTCTTGTTTTTAAAAGCAATAGCATGCAGCAAATGGTATATAGCACAATGGTATAAATGATTTTTTTTTTTGAGTTATTGATTGAGGGAAATATCAAATGAAAAGCAGTAATAAGATCTGTCAGAGGGTTTGCAGCCACAGCACCACATGTACAGACATGCATGATAATGTTCGGATGTGTAAGAGCATGCAGACAGGCGGACGCACACTATATATTTATTCCTTACAACCTGATACACACGTTGCATCCCTCACAATCCAAGTTCCACTTCAGAGCCAAGGCTAATTGAGTTTTCACCAAATGGACTTGTTAACCTCCTGGTGATTAATGAGGTTACCAATTCACTAAAAAGCTGGGCCCACTGCCTCCGTTTCTGCAAGACACACACAGAACAACATAGCTACAGGAGAGGACGAAAAGCAATTATCAAAGTCAAATGTTCTATGCAATGATTCATTTTGAATTGTGGAAGTTCTTTACTCTGAAGCAGTTTATCACCATTGCTGTATTCAGGACAAAACATTAGAATCATGAACAAAAAAAAAAAAAAAAAAACTGAACTAAGCCCGTTTTTACCTGGTCTCTTGTCTGTATGAATTTAAATACTGAGTATTGATCTAGATTTGTTTTTTTATTTTTGCGGCATGTTCTGAAAACCCCCCACTCTCCCGTCAGACCGGTGAAGGGTGGGGACTCGTTGCCAAAGGGTAAACTTGTGTAGACTGTCAGTTTTATGAATGTCCACCATCACGTTGCTTTTCAAGCATGGGGTTTTGCTTGGCTTCATGGCTGTTTTTTTTTTTTTGTTGCTGTTGTTTTTTTGTTGTTGTTGTAAGCCCTCATTCAGTTGTTGTGCAATTTGGCTGACCTGTTTGGCTTGCAGTGACTGTCTGTGCTGCTATGAACCTGTAACACAGATGGTCAAGCAGTTCTCATCAATTCTTGTTAGTGTACATATTGAGTGTTAGTATAACCTGTGGGGTGAATGGAATGTTTATATTTGATATACTTCACTGTTGACTCAACCCACACAGCGGCCAAGTCATTTGAAAGGTGCATGATTAGATTTTCCTTGGACGTTGCAGTAGAAATGATGATAGAAAAAAGAAAAGTCAGGCATGATTTTAAAAGGATTTGCCTCACAAACCTTGACTCAAACAGGCCAATGAAGAGAACATTAGTGAGTTAAAACGTTCAGCCAGTCATTCACAAATCAGGGCATGTCATTTGGAAAGCACAAGCCTGACTGGTGGCGATTGCTGCTCACCGGAGTGCAGAAACAGAGGTTGCATAACGGAATCTCTTTTAAGATGTGCGACAAAACAAAGCGGAGGTGCAGTGTGGTCGATATAAGAGGTGAAAACAGCCTTCGATGCAGCCATGTGGATGAGCAGGAAGACAGATGGACACATTCTCATATTTCTTACTGTAAATACAACCTCATTCTTCTGTACAGCTTTTCAGTTCGGAGTACGGCTATCATGTGCATCCCCATGCCGTATTTGCTGCCAACTTTTGTGTTTAAAAATATTTATTATGACCATGATGATGATGATGATGAAACTATTAATGATGGTTATTATTATTACTGCATAAGCCTAGTGAATGTGGCTGACTTGTACTGACTCTACAACAGTGGAAAAAAATTCACGCACATTTCCATCCATCCAATTTGTGTAGAGTTTCTCTACATATTGTACTAAGAAAACCTGCAGCAGAAGGCCTTTATCAGGCAAAAAAAGAGGTTATAAGTTTTGATGGATGTGATCTGCGAGATGAGATGAGGAAAAAAAAAAGAAGAAACTACAAATCTGGAAAATGTCATTCACTGTTGTAAGTGCAATGGGCAAAATGTCAATCGTGTATCCATTGTGAAACCCTTGTGTTCTATTCAGTGTATTCCTGTAAACAGATAAGAGTACATTTTGGTGCATCATGTCAAGTAATGTGAAAATATTGACCCTGCAATTTCCAAACGGAGAAACGAATAAAAAGAAAGAAGTTTATTGTGACCACTTTGTGCAGACTGTTTAAAGGTGTGTGTGTTTAACCTTTAGTTATAGCGTGGTATTAGGCTTAGTGCTGATGCAAGAGAGAGATCAATAATAAGACCTGTTCAGATAAGAGCAGGCTTTGCGTGCAGATGTGACAGGTTAAAATTATTAAAATATTTTAAAAGTTATCCTTATACAAATTAAAATACACAGGTTTAAAAGACTGATATTACAGTAAAAACAAGAGTTAAAAATAATTCATATTTCATAATTATTATTTTGTTATGATTGTTAAAAAGTAGTGGTAATACAGTACTAAGAGTATTCATACTATGTACACTATTTACAATTTCTTAAGAGTTCGATGGTTTGTAGATCGATTGCTTCTGTCCAGCAGAGAACTGTGTTTTGCGCTTGCGCAGAAAGGTTTTGGTGTTCTTTTTGAATAAAGTTAAAGTGAGTAAAGACGTCAGCAGCATCTCCATTATTCATTTTAACTCAAAAGCAACCACGTACCTCTCCCAAGATATCGGAGCAGAGGGCGCAACATTTTGGAGGCACCGCTGGGATGTTTGGTCAGAGAAAAATCCACCACCTGTAAGTGGAAACTCGAGCCGAATATCCGCCATTAAACCCGGCACCGGCAGCACGAGGCACCGCCGACGTTCACCGTGGCTCTGTCAACATGTGCAACAGGTTGTATCTGTAGTGCGCACGACCACCACTAGAGGGCACCATTGTTCCACAAAGTTTAACAGAAGCTCACCGTGAACTGTATTATGCCTTTTATCTGATGAAAATGGAATCAGAGCTGGAGAACGTGCACTTAGAAGTTAAAGGTGCTTTATATGAGCTGAATATTAAACAATTGCTGACAATATGCAATGGACTACAAATATCTGGACTCAGAAAAGAGCAACTTGCAGACAAAACCCGAGGCCAGTTAATCACACTTGTTATAGAGCATATTGAGAAGATTGAGTTAGCTGAGCTAGAAGATGAGGGATTGTCTCACTTACTCAGTATTAAGGATTTGATCGAAAATGCAAAATTGACAGAGCTAGAGCCAGTAGGTGAAGCTCAAGAGAGAGATGACCTGCAAAAAGAGGTAGATGCATTACGGACCACGCTTCAAGCCAAAGAGGAAGCTATACATCAGCTAATGAGTGAGAAACTGAGCCTACAAAGCACACCGTTGCTGAAAAAAGCTTCAGCCCCCCGAGATTGCTCCATTTGGCGCAAAGACTTTAAAATATCAGGTCAAATAGGAGAGCCTGGACAGAAAGACAAGCTTACATTTAGTAGTTTGGCCAGGCAGATTGAAAGTGGACTCAATAAAGGCTACCATGAAGATGAAATAGTTGATGCAGTAATTAGAGCCATCACACCAGGTCTGCAGTTAAGAAGTTACCTGGAAGGCAAAGGTGACCTTACACTCCCTGCCTTGCGGAGGATCCTGAGGTCTCACTATCAGGAGAGAGGAGCCACTGAACTGTATAAACAGCTGTCATCGGAGGTCCAGAGCAGTAAGGAGACCCCACAAAACTTCCTCCTGAGAACCATGGACCTTCGTCAGAAGATTCTCTTCGCTTCCCAAGAAGCTGATTCAGGTCTGAAATATGACCCAGCCTTGGTTCAGAGTTTGTTCATGCACACCATCCTAACAGGGTTACAGAGTGACAATGTTAAGAGCGACATGCAGCCCTACCTGCTTCAGTCATCCATATCCGACGAGGTCTTGTTGGAAAAAGTGAATATAGCATGTGCAAATGAAAGAGAACGACAAGACAAGAAGAAACACGCTGTCCCCCACCGAGCGGCCATTGTGAATGCTGTCCACCACAGTGATACCCCAGCGCCTGTTGGGCAAAAGACTGTCCAAAAACAAATAACAGCTGCCATCCCACCAGACCTGCTGTCAGAGATTAAAGAGATGCGGTCTGAGATGGTGCTTTTAAAGGACCTGCGGGCTGAGGTGTCACAAATCAGAGAGACTATACAAAAGTCTACAAGCACAACGCCACCCACCAGTGGAGGACCTGAGCACCGCTGCTTCACACCGACCTTCACGCCTCACCCGCCATACCAGGAGGATCCATCTTCTCAGCACTGCAACCCTCAACGCCCCCAAGCAGCTCTTCAGACGTACTATCCAGCAGCAGGGTCAGCGTCGACGAGAGGCATCGCCCAGTTCCAGCAGCGTTTTGCCCCTCAGCGGTACTACATGCCCCGCCCACAACTGAGGTGTTATGGTTGCATTCAGACAGGTGAAGAGTTTTGTCAGCATTGTTTCAGGTGTGGGAGCAGTGAGCATTTTAGGGCAGGCTGTAAAGCACAGAGGCCAGTGAGACCAGCCAGGGGTAACCCTTTAAACTAAAAGCGGTCACTCCAATGGGACATGGTGTGACCAATGACAGTGATAGGTCCCAGTGTTGTTATGGTTGTGCTATACAACGTGAAAATCAGACTTTAAAATGCTGTTCAGTGTGTAAGAGTGCCTTTTACTCCTCCAAAAAGTGCCAAGGTGAGCATTGGCCAATACACAAAAACAAATGCAAGCCCTACATCTGTGGTAGTGTTCACAAGGGGAATAGAAAGTTATATGAAAAGCCAGTCAAAATGAAGTTACCTTCTATTAAGCAGTTAGTGGGAAGAAAATGTCTCATTAGATGCATTCTAGACAACAAGAGGGTTGAAGCACTTTGGGACTCTGGCTCACAGGTTTGTGCAATAGATGAGTCATGGAAAAACACTAACTTACCTGATGTACCACTGAGAAACGTGAGTGAGTTTATCACTCAGAATGAACCCCTCCATCTTGAAGCAGCCAATGGCACAGATATGCCATATGTAGGGTGGGTCGAGATACCATTCAAACTTACAGCCAATGACTCTGAATTACTCATACCTGTTCTAGTGCTTAAAGGTAGCCAGCAGCAGTGCCCAATTATTGGGTTTAATGTTATTGAGCACTTGGTTTCAGAAAGTATGAAAGATGGGAATAATTCAGGGGATAAAGAAAAACTTCTGAGAGCAGTTAAATTAGCTTTTCCACATCTTAAGAAAAACAAAGCTGCGACCTTTATAAAAGCAGTTAGTGTAGGACAAACACATGATTACGATGTGAAAACAAAAAAGGAGAGAGTGACTGTGCCCAGCCAGAGTTCAGTGTTTGTTGAATGTAGGGTGCAAACTAAAGCAGTTAAAGAGGACATTACGCTAATTTTCGAACCGTGTGAGAACCCACAGTGGCCAGATGGCCTGGGGTTTTGTGACACATTAGTTTCAGTGAAAAAAGGGTCTATTCCACGGATTACTGTTAGTGTACAAAACCCCACCCATCATGACATTGTGCTACCAGGGAGAACCATTATTGGTACTGTGCAGTCAGTGGGGTCTGTCTATCCCATTAACCCCTTCAAGAAAGACCTCCCATCGGCTGCCATCAACAAGATCCAGGCCCAGGACACCACAGGATGCACCCCCACCAGTGAGCAATGGGACCCTCCTGTTGACCTGTCTCATTTGGATGAAAATAAAAGAAAAGCTGTCCAGCAGATGCTGAGAGAGGAATCAGCATCATTCTCAAAAACAGATGATGACATAGGATGTCTGAAGGGCCTGCAAATGGACATTTTGTTAAAAGACACAGAGCCAGTTTCGAAAAAATATCTCTCTGTACCAAAGCCACTGTACAGAGAGATGAAGGACTACTTGCAGGACTTGATAGCGCAGGGGTGGGTGGAAAAATCTACTTCTTCGTACTCATCTCCTGTTGTCTGTGTGAGAAAAAAGGACGGTTCGCTGCGCTTATGTATTGACTATAGGGAACTTAATCGCAAGACACACCCAGACAGACACCCTATACCCCGGGTGCAGGACGTGATGGATAGCCTGGGAGGAAATACCATCTTTTCGCTACTGGACCAGGGTAAGGCGTATCACCAGGGGTTTATGTCCCAAGAGAGCAGACATCTAACCGCCTTCGTGACCCCCTGGGGCCTTTACGAATGGATTAGAATTCCTTTCGGCCTCATGAATGCGCCAGCTGCGTTCCAGCGGTGTATGGAGCAATGCCTGGATGGACTGCGAGATGAGATATGTGTTCCCTATCTAGACGATGTTCTTGTGTTCAGCAGAACTTTTGAGGACCACGTTGATGATGTGAGAACAGTACTGCGACGCCTCAGAGACAATGGAATAAAACTCAAACCACGAAAATGTGAGATTTTCAAACCGGAGGTGAGGTACCTTGGCAGGATGGTTTCTGCTGAGGGAAGCAAAATGGACCCGGCGGATACAGCAGCAGTACGGTCCCTGAAGAACAAGCAGCCAGGTACTGTTGGTGAGCTCAGAGCGATACTAGGACTATTAAGCTACTATAGGCAATACATCAAAGATTTCTCTCGTATTGCTAGTCCCCTGTATGACTTGCTCAAAGTGCCTTCAAAACCAGAAGCTCAACAATATACAAGAAAAGGGACAATGAGACAGAATAACAGTGTGCCCTCAAGTACTCCTATTCAGTGGAGTGATGTGCACCAGTCAGTCTTAGAACAGTTGATAGACTGTTTAGTTCAGCCTCCTGTTCTTGGGTTTCCAGACTTTACACAGCCCTTTGTCTTACATACAGATGCCTCTAACCAGGGATTAGGAGCTGTATTGTATCAAAGGCAAAACGGCAAACTCCGTGTAATAGCATATGGCTCCAGAACTCTAACCACAGCCGAGAAAAACTACAACTTACACTCAGGCAAGTTAGAATTTCTGGCTCTTAAATGGGCAATTACAGACAAGTTCCGTGATTACTTGTACTATGCACCATTTTTTACTGTGTTTAGCGATAACAATCCGCTTACTTATGTTCTGTCTACAGCAAAATTGAACGCAACAGGGTGTAGGTGGGTTGCAGAACTTGCTGATTTCCATTTTACTGTGAAGTACCGCCCTGGTAGAGAGAACATAGATGCAGACAGTCTGTCTAGGATGCCCTTAAACATGGAGACCTATATGGAAGA